GGTCCCGCAGCACCCCCTGCTGGCGGGAGGACTCCACCGAGTTCCGGGCTGAAGCACCCCCCTATTTATTCACCGATTCCGGCTCATTTCAGCGCTACGGTTTATTTAATCGTTCCAGCTTAAGGAATGCGGAGGGACAGTCCCGTCTGCAGAGAAAGGCACGGCGCACAGTTAACAACCAGGCCCACCCCGCCAAAGAAAATTGTTTCTGCACTTGTTGCCAGTCTCACAAATAAACAATTAAATACGTTATTTTAAATAGACTGGGGGGAGACTTCCCTTGGACCTGTCTACCCTGAGGAGTACGCGTGCGTACAGAATAAACCCACGATGATGCAGTGTTTCCACACCAAGTGCTGGTAGGAGAAGCACTTGGAACCAAACCAGCAGCAAGAGCTCTTTAACCAGTTTAGTTAAACCAAATTTCTAATAGTTTAGAATATTAAACAATGTGTTTATTACTCCAAGTAGTTAGAAGTATCTTACAACAGATACAGTCTGTCATTACAACCCCTAAACTCCAAGACAGAAGGCCCAAGGCTGCCCCTCGACACCTGAACGACGATGGGGAGCCCTCCGATTTCGGTCTCAACGTTTGGAGCGAGGAGAGAGAAGGGACGAAGGGTCAAGCCTGACCCTGAGAAGTGCTCTGACCGGAAAAGCTGTGGTTTATCTTACAGCAACACACTCTTGAGGTAGACGTTACTTGACGCTGCTCTGAGCCGGTGCCGCAGAACACAGCTCCGTCCTCTGCGGGAAGGCAAGCGCTGCGTCCACCACCTCCCCCTCGGCCCAGCCGCGTCCTCCCTTTTCCAAGGCAAATGGCAAACATCTTCAAGGTTGAGTACAGCATTCTCATCTTCTTCATTTCTTCATAGATTGTGGTGGGTTATGCGCTTCCCCTCCTGCGCAGAGGCTGGAAGGAGCACTGAAGATCCGAGGCAGCAGAACGGAGGGGAATCCCGGCCAGCGCCGGATCCTTGCTTTCTTTTTGACCCAAGGAGGAACTCGATTCGGTATCACAGCCTGCAAGACGCCTGGGACACTTTGGAATTGGTTCGTCTGTTGAGAGCATTGCAAATAAACGTGCCCACGTCCACCAGCTTCTGCAGATCCACACCCTTCACGGGGAAAAAAAAAGAGAAGACACGCCTTGGTACCGGTTCTGCCACGTAAAGCTGCCCAGTAACAACTGGCATCACTGGGGGAGGCTGGGAGGGGGTGAGGGAGCCTGTGGGGTACTTCAGCGACTACGCCCGGGCTCCCTGGGCCAAGCTCCGAACCCTCGCTGCAGCCCGAAGAGAGCCATGGCGCGAGAGGCTCGGCTGGGGCAGGCGCAGGCGGCTGGCGCTCACCGTGTGGACCCCCAGGCCGTTCAGCATGTACACCACGTCCTCCGTCGCCACGTTCCCGGAGGCCCCTTGGGCGTAGGGGCAGCCTCCAAGGCCAGCGACGGAAGCATCAACCACGCTCACGCCCATCTGCAAACAAAACCACCATCGGTAAACTCCTCTTGCAGGACAAACCACAGTCCTGCTCCTCAGATCTGCGGTTCGCAAGCAAGCTCAAAGGAAATCCTCGAGGAAGGACGCTAAACTGCAAGGAATCTCACCTGAAGCGCTACCAAGATGTTGGCAAGAGCTTGCCCGTAGGTGTCATGGCAGTGGACGGCAAGAGCCCCAACGGGCACCTCCTTCATGACAGCCGTCAGCATCTCCTTCATGCTCCCGGGGGTCCCAATGCCAATGGTGTCACCCAGGGAAATCTCGTAGCATCCCATCGAGTACATCTTCTTCGAGACCTGCCCGACAGCCAAGACGCTTACTGAGGAGGCGGCTTTGTCACTGCCCTCCCCAGAGCTGGAGACGCGCCGTACAGAGGAACCGGAGCACGCCTCCCTGTGGCACCGCAGCCAGGAGGCTTCTCTGGGATCAAAACTCTCCAGGCCCCCACACTTCCCTGAGCCCCCCCGCACATTTCAGCCCGACTCAGCCCCCCCTCCCTGCGGTGGCAGCTAGCTGTACCCCCTCCCCAGCCTTCGGTTAAACAGTTGGACACATCCTCCAGCTCCCCCTGCCCAATGCACATCCACAAAAGGGAGCCAAAAACCTCTGAGAAGTTCTGGTTACATTTATGAGGAACTCACCTCTGCAACTTTAGCTGCAGAAATCTTCCCTTCATAGGGACACCCAAGGACACAGGAAACGTATCTACGGTGACAAAAAAAAAAAATCACACTTTTAGCTACAGAACTGAAGTGAGATTATATCGGCCAAATTAGACAGGGCTTGTGCTGCATCTTGCATGCTCTGTACAATGGAAGAATTAATTTCATCTGCTCATAATTAGCCAGTGGACAAAGCTTACACTATTAACTATTCAACAATTATTTCTTCCACAGACATGAAAAATTTGCCAAGACAAGAGTACACAGGACTGTTAGGTTAGTGGATCTACGCGCTTCCATGTGGAATGTCTGCCAGGCAGCTAGTGTGATCCTGGATCATTTGGTAAAGCTGAAGACAGAACAATTACACGCAGGGTGAATCCATCGGGAAGAGTGTAAACTGTCACGAGTGGTACAGGCACCTGGAACCCTGCTAGTGTTGGGGGGGGTCCAAATTAATGCTTCTCAACGCGCTGAGCTCCCACGGACTTGGACCCACCCAAGTAGAGAGACAGACCCCAAAAAAAGGTGAAGTTTAAAAGAAATCCCACTCCCTGGCGCTGCACAGGCTGGACTCCAAAGAGATGAATTCAAGCAGTCGCATCTCTCCACACGACCTGCTCGACGCTCAGTTGGCAGCAGGAACGTCTTACCCCCGGACAGGAATGCTGGCTGCTCTGGCCGCGGTCATCACTTCACCGAATCTCTCCAGGCTCTCCGCTATGGAGCAGTTGATGTTCTTCTTAGTGAAGAGCTCGGACGCTGCTCCAAAGATCGACACTTCTTTGGCTCCCGCTGCCACCTGCCAACAGAAGGCACGAAGCGAGCTGATTTCTCTTGCAAGGGAAATGACAAGCGTGACAATGACTACGGTTCTCTCATTTTACAAAAAATATTTTTTCCCCAGTTCTTCCCCGAATAACTCAGTTGTTTTCTCAGTTCATTCTACAGCAAAAATATGACGACACATCCAGGTTTGTCTTAAATGGAAGTGTAAGGTTACAGACGCAGCAGTAACGCTACATCTGCCAGAGGTACTCGGGAGGGCTGTGGGACACGCGGATAAGACTGAAAGCATCACTGCCAACTAAAAGCAACTTTTTTTTTCTTTTAAGTATCAAGTTTTTTTCTATTATAAACAACAGGTTTCTATTTCCCCAGCAAAATGATCCCTTGTAAAGGAAGTACAAGACGAGGCTGCTGCTGCCAGGATGAAAGATGCGTTTCCCAGGCCTAACCACAGCCGAAGTGTTCCTTCGCAGGCAACCCTGCACACGAGGCACCGAGAACATCCAGACGTCGCCATCTCTTACCGCGGCCTGAAACCCTTTCAGATTAGGGGTCAGCACAGGATAACTGACACCGGGCAACTTATTAATCCCTTGCATGACTTCAGTATGGTCAGCCATCTGCAAAGTAAAGGAGGAAAAGGGTTCTAAGGGTGACAACATCCACTTCCGCAGACTATAAAATAAGTTTTAAAATTTATTGTTATAATGGGAACAGAAATACTTGGGAATAAGAGAAATGGCCCTCTGCAGAGCAAAGAGCATTGCACGCTGCGAAGGATCACAGTTCAGTCACCCAGCAGAGCCAGCACCAACACGCGCCCGACCAGCTGTTTGCACCCGAGCCGTACGTTTGCTCTTTCGCAGGGTCCAAAGGGCAGGTCTGGGATATCGCAAGCTCCTTCATTTGGCTTTGCTGCTTCTTGTGCAGTTACAAAGCACGGTAACAAGGACTTTGGAGCAAGCAGAATCTTTTCTCTGGGTTAGTATCTATTATTCGGTGTTTCTACAACTCACAGTTGTGAGCCTCGTTTGAAAACTGACCTGAGGAACCCATTTGGGAGAAACAAAGCTGGTGGCCTCTATGACCTGAAGCCCCGTCTCTGACAGCATATTGATCAGATTGATTTTCACCGCTGTCGGCACAACGTTCTAAGCAGACAACAAGAAAAAAAGACCTTCAGTTATTATTTCCACGATAAACTTCTCCACCTCCACCAACCCCCCCCACCTCTACTAACTTTTCCACCCCTACTAAAACCCCGACCCCTACTAATTTTTCAACCCCTACTAAACCCCCCCCCCCCCCCCCACACCCC